TGATTGGACACACAAGGAATTTGTCTTCGGTGCATAAGCTCTCAGTACATAAAAATACATTCACCAAGAATCATAAGATAGAACACTTAGTGATCGTCATAGGATACTAAATAAGCAATCAAATCATACTAGGAAACTAAATAAAACAATATAAATTGTAAAGATATAAGCAACAAGGTTATATAGTCATCAGTAAGAGGAGATAGATAATAGGAAGGATAGGCAGAAGCTGGGACGAGTAATGGGAGCTCACTCCGTTATGCGGCGCTAGGGATTTGAACCGCCGAACTACCGACCTTTCTGATTGACAAGCTCAGCGTCTTAGCCACTGAGCCACTGCGTCCCCAAAAAGAGATCTTACATGTCCCCTAAGTATGTAGCAGAACTTCTGGATCTGAATGTCTTTCAGACTCTTTTCCTTGGCAGATTTACTACTTTCTTGTTTTACAATCCCTTGAGTACGCTGTCAAGATGTGGGGTTACTTGGCAGGCGCACAGCAGTTCAGGCAAATTCATGTTTTCCCCGCAAGCTGAAAAACACACAACTATGCAAGGAATCTGCTCCTGTCAATTTTCTTAATGGTTGGGAAGGGCCTCGAAAGAAAAGCATGTGGGAATGTTCCCATACCAATGGTCTAATTTGGGGACCTGAGATGTGGGAATGATTGTAGGAAGCTTCTAGTTCCAACAGAATATTTCTAGCTCGGGGTTGACATGAAGGGACCTTGGTGGTTTCTGAGCTTGGTGGTTTCCTTGCAGATGTTTCATGACCCAACTAGGCAACATCATCAGTGCTAAAAGGGAGTGGGGTTTGTAGAGAGGAGGAAGAGGAATAGAATAGAGTAGAGTGGAGTGGAGTGGAGTGGAGTGGAGTGGAGTGGAGTGGAATGGAATGGAATAGAATAGAATAGAATAGAATAGAATAGAATAGAATAGAATAGAATAGAATAGAATAGAATATGGAGAAGAATAGAATAAAATAGAATAGAGTAGAGTAGAGTAGAGTAAAATAGAATAGAATAGAATAGAATAGAATAGAATAGAATAGAATAGAA